CTATCACGACCGAAATGCAAGACGAGAACTCACAAATTACTCACATACTTACAAATTTCAGCAATTTTAGTTCTAGAAATCAAAAAAAAAAGAACTATAGCGACCATCGCTGTGTCAACTAGACTTTGTGCAAGCAAACAGTGTTCTCGATTTCGGGAATTTTCCTTTATGTAATAGCACACCTCCTGCGGCTTGCAAAACTAATAATCTGTTGCTTGGAAATCTTTGTGCCACTGTTGAATCGTGAATAAAAATGCATCTTGTACTTTACCAGATTAATGAGCTAAAGTTCGCTTACGCTTTGAGCGAAATCATGATTGTGTTTAATGTACAGGAGTAATTAACAAGTATACTCTTAATTAATTTTTTTGTTAGGAGTAATTAACAAGTGCACTCTTAATTAATTTCTTCGTTAGGAGTAATTAACAAGTGCACTCTCAATTAATTTCTTCGTTAAAAGAGATGGTCTCTTTGTCCAGTTTGCCTGATTGAATTGAAGAGGATTAATGAGTGTGAAAGCTATTGTATACTGTAAGAGTTAGATCAATGTAAGGGCATGCTCAGTTTTTGAACGTAAAAAGAACAACTTAGCAAATTCTAATTAAACGACGTACGTGACACATGCCTTTTTTAAAGAAAATCCTAAGATTCAGGTTAGATCAAAGCAAACAGATAGAAATCACCTTACAATCTTACGTACGTATTATGTAGGTGGTAAAGCTGTGCCTCGTTACTCTACAGATGTTCTTAGATAGAAATTCCTACGCTTCTTCATCGTAATTTTGGCGCAAACTGCTCTATCCTCTCATCATGTCAATGAAATAATCTGCTGTACCTTAATCCGCTTCCAGCAAGACCTTCTAGAACTCCAGAATTCGTTGAAGTGAAACAACCAGATGTTCAAAAAAACAATATTGCGATACTTTTACGCCTTCGTTTTGCGATACATATTCGAGTAGTGAAATGACGCGTGTGCCATGTATCCTTAATTAAACGACGCATGACTGCTATGAAGTATGAAGTATTTTTCTGACTGCTTATTCAATTCCGAGCGATCACAAATGTTTTGTTCGTAGCATACTTAATTGCCGCAAAATAAGCAATTGACAGTAGTGAAAAATTTCGGGTTCTCGAATCTAAACTTAGAAGATTTCAACCCTGCCAATGCTAATGTCCTTTTTGACCTTTTTTTTCCATGAAATTGTACATGGTTAAGAGATGCCGGCATTAACGTTACCAAAAAATAATTAGTAGTACGTTTTCTCCCGTACCTTTTTCAAGTTATATCCGCTCTTGTCTTCTCTCACCTATTTGATCAGATTACATGATCCCTAAAAAGTGTTCTTAACTTTCATGGTCTCCAAAAGTTTAGAGATTCATAACCTACCGTTGCCGCACAACTAGCTTTGTTGATCCCAATGAGCTAGCTTGTGCGATTCATTCAAGGTCTCGTAATTCAAAATTATATCTGTTGAATTTGACACTATTGTTCATGCACCTCAATACTTCTCATTCCCAAAAAAGTGCTTTTGCACTTAATAGTGAATTGTGCAGAGTCTGCAGCTTCAATCAAGCATAGCGCTGGCAAAATCTGCCATTATCATACTGCTCCAGACACTTGCCATGAGACAGTTAAAAAAGATATTTGCAGTCTTCTTAAGTACTGTATTTTGTCAGATAAAATTGTAAATTCCAACAGTTTCCATGCCATTGGAAAATCAAACCTATTGGATATAGTGAGTAAACTTTTTTGTTAGTCTATGCATACCTCGGCAACTTTTCATTCCAAAAATGTTTCTGTACATTGTGAGCTGTGCAAGTCTTGCAAAACTCGCACTTATGACCAAACTAGCTGGCTTACCCGGCTCCGCCGTATCCGGACCAAACTTGGCACACATACACTTCGGGCCCCGGCGGGTGTCACAGTCCACTTTTCGTTATCGATCGATGTCGATTTTACCGATTTTTATCGATTTTTTGCAGAGTTCACCTACAGGGCTAGGAGTTGGCACAGGGGGGGAAGTGAGCATGGAGATTCCGAATACAATATTAGTTTTCAGAATTATCGATTACTTTTATTGATTTTATCGATTTTTTGTAAATTTTGACATGCGAGGCTGGGATTTTGCACAGGGGGTAATCGAGCATGCTGATTACGAACACAATATTAGTTTTCAGGATCGTCCATTACTTTTATCGATTTTATCGATTTTTTTTGTAAAGTTTGACCTGCGGGGCTGGGAGTTTGCACAGGGGGGGTAATCGAGCATGCAGATTACGAATACAATATTAGTTTTCAGGATCGTCCATTACTTTTATCGATTTTATCGATTTTTTGAAAATTTGAGCTAGGGGGCTGGAATTTGGCACAGGGGCGTAATCGAGCATGCTGATCACCCCCCTTGGGGATGATCAGCATGCTCGATTACCCCCCTGTGCCAACTCCCAGCCCCCTAGCTCAAACTTTGCAAAAAAATCGATAAAATCGATAAAAGTAATCGATAATCCCGAAAACCAATATTGTATTCGGAATCCCCATGCTCGATTACCCCCCTGTGCCAACTCCCAGCCCCCTAGCTCAAACTTTGCAAAAAAATCGATAAAATCGATAAAAGTAATCGATAATCCCGAAAACCAATATTGTATTCGGAATCCCCATGCTCGATTACCCCCCTGTGCCAACTCCCAGCCCCGTAGCTCAAACTTTGCAAAAAAATCGATAAAATCGATAAAAGTAATCGATAATCCTGAAAACCAATATTGTATTCGGAATCCCCATGCTCACTTACCCCCCTGTGCCAACTCCCAGCCCCGTAGGTGAACTCAGCAAAAAAATCGATAAAAATCGATAAAATCGATATCGATCGATACGAAAAGTAGCCTATGACACCCGCCGGGGCCCAAAGTGTATGTGTGCCAAGTTTGGTCCGGATCGGTTCAGAAATGGAATTTTCTATTCGGAACATACGTACAGACAGACAGACATACAGACATACATACAGACATACAGACATACAAACAGACATTCAGCTTTATATATAAGATGTGGTGCTGGATCCTGCAGATGCTAGGATCTTGTAATTCTTTTAACACATTCACGACAATACGACTACGTACCATACCACGTACGACCCGCCAGTGAATAGAGAGTTTCTGCCATTTTGGACCATACGACCTACCTGTTGGTCGAAGGATTCCTGAAACTTTAGCTTTGCCACTCCACATGTATTTATGGGGTTCTGGCAGTGACTGGGAAGATCTAGGCGAAGCACCAGCCAAAGTGGTCTGGGCTCGGGATAATGTAATGTAGTGTTACAGTGGGTATGCCGTAGATAGAGATAAGGCGCAGACTTTAGCCCAAATTCTTTGCAGGGTAATGCTGTTTCCGAACATCCAATTGTACACGCACGAGAAAAACGGGGCGGGCGAAAAATTGATGTTAGCGCATCAAAAAATATCGATTTTATTTATTTTATTGACTTTTTGCATTGTTCATCCCGAAAAGCTGAAGTCTTCCATGTACAGGTGCTGTAGCATGCTGATTACAAAAATGTTAGCTTCAAGTTTTAATATTGCCTTCTTACAACAGTTTTCTGACTTTCACGATAGTGAACGAAGTGGACACTATAATCGTTATCAGCAGGTAAAATCATCCCAAAACAAATTTTTCATAAAAATTCGTGATGCTGGGTTCGTACAGATTAGTTTAGCATTTTCTGGCATGAAGTGCATAAGCCAATTGATTAGGTTGATGCATAAATAATGCAGATTGTGATACTTCTCCTAAAACGGCAGAAGAAATGTAATTATTAAGAAGCATATCATTCGCCAGAGCAAAGCAGGCCCTACCTTTTTTTAAACAGCCCTAGAAAGCCCAATAAAATCGGATTTCTTTCAGAAAAATCCAAAAACTTCCAAAACTGCTCGCGAAAATTATTTGTTGCATCAGCTGCGCATATGTACACTTGCTGTATTTTTTTCCATGGCTGGTAGCCGGAAAATGAAATTCGACATGTTTTAGCAAAAACAATGATGGATTGTACCGCCATAGAATATTTCCAAAGGCAGTGGCTCGGGAAATTCGCGACTGGGAGCTTTTCATAACTACATGGCCTTCTGGACCTACTGAGTCAGGTACTGTGCTTGAAATGTCAAAAAAGTATTGTTTTGCTTTTGAAGTTTACCGGCCTTGCAGACTGCTGGAGAGGCGGGCAAGGAATGCGGGCAAGAGGTTCCCGCCACAACCAGCAAGTGACTGCAGGATACTGTAACTTCACCTGTTTTGGCGGCAATTGGCTGATCACCCAGGCAATCAATACGATACGGATGACGCGAATCCCTCGCCCCGCCTCTCCAGCAATCTCCAAGGTCGGAAAACGCCAAGAAAGCATTTTTCTGACTTTTCAAGCACAGTACCTAACTCAGCTGGTCCAGAAGGTCATGTAGTTGTAGATCCCACTCGCGATTTTCCTGAGCCACTGCTTAAGAGGTATAACAACAAATTTCCAGCTTTTTGAGGTTAGTTGCTAAAATATCAGCAGCATAAACAACGAAAAGATGATATTTTTGAATTTTTGGCCTATTTCTACTTTTGATATGGGAATTATATATATATGATCATCAGGGGGCGGTATGTATTAGTTATCCGAAGTGACAAACCAGACGTACTTAAGTTTGTCTAGACTCTCGAAAAGAGACTTACAAGCCAAGATTTGGAACGCTAACTCTAAACATATTGTTCTTAGCTGCAAAATCTTAGTTTAAAGCAAGTTGTAACTCCTGATCAGGGCCCGGCACAGATCGTCTAGAAGCAGGCTGGACTTCGTTTTTGGAGCAAAACGCAAAGGGGACATCGTTTCTGTGGGGTCCGGGGCAGAGCCCCGGAAAAAAATTTTTGCACATGTCCAGCTCGGATTCTGAAAAGCTTGAGGAGGGTGGAAATTGAATAGCAAGTCACTCACTGCTGTACCATATAGGTCTATGAGTTAGATATTCCATTGATGAGAATGTTAGCTTTGGCTCGGACCACAAGACCAAATCTGGAAAATTTCAAAATCTTTTCCAAGATTTGTAGGTTTTTATCCACTGACCCTCTCAACAAGTTCAGCGATCTCTTCTTTGCTCTTTCTGTACCACCAAGATCCTCGATAATATTGCAGACTCTCTTCGCAAACAGCCAACAGCTTCGCACTGGAAAAGGTATGAGTGAGCAGTACACAAAGATACGGCACTAAACGTCTCACTTGAATTCTGTCAAAGTCGTGTCATCTACATGCCCTCCTCTTAAAGACTTCAGAATCTCTGCCGACTCAAGCAAAGCTACCACTTCATCTAGTAGCGTAGGAACCCTCAAACGAATATAGAGGGAGTCGCTCCTGAGATGGCATTCCTAAACAAGAATTTGAGAGAAACATTTATGGTGCAGTAAGTGATCGAGAGATCAACTCAGTTTCTAGGAAAATTAGTAGGTCTTACGGAAGTTTGCTCGTGGATCTGGATGCTTGCCAATTGAGGATCTGACACACTCGTTTCCAGGAATGGTTTAATTGGCTGTGAAACCTAAACAGACCGAATACACATTACACAAGGAAAACTCGATGAAAAACGTGAGTAGTGATGAAAGCACCAAAAAATGCATGCAACAAACAGGAGCAATGAAAATGAACAAGAAATTACCTCTAAGTCACTAAACCCAAGATTTTTCAAATCTTTGATGCACTTCCGTAGATGTCACCAGCTTGATCATCGCTAACTCTCCACTATCCAACTCCAACATCTAAAAGTCCTCATTTGAAAGCATTAAGGAGTACTCCAAAAAAGAAAGCCACCCTAAGGCTGGGATCCAGGATAGACCATAGTCTCAAGTCTTCAAATTGCAGTTTGCAGATTTGTTTCAGACAGACACAATACAAAAAACATAAGCACCCATAGCCAGTCATTATAAGATATGATAATTCCTTCACTTTCTCCTCTATGTCAAGAATAAACGACATCCAAACGAAAACAAGCTTTTCGGACAGGCTATCACACGATTGACATGCTCTATCGTATATGGCGAAAAGTGCGCGCGATTTGAAAGCAAGGCTAAAATAAACAAACCGCTTGTTTACAGCGCCCACAGAATTATATGACACCAAAATTGAACTATACGTATGGAAAATTATTTGCAGAAGAATTATGTAAAAAGATTTGAAAACTTATGTGAAGTAATACCTTTTCCAAAATTAGATCGTCTCCAGACGGCTACCAGACGATCTGAGATCGTCTGGAGCATATATTTTCATCACTTCACATAAGTTTCGGATCTTGTTAGCATGGATGGATGCCCCTGTCGAAAATCTATCCCTGAGCATAGAAACGTTTTCATACCATCCCCTGTCCGTCGTTTTTATCATCTTTTTTTACCGAAAATCGCCTAGTTAGATATCGCGCTTTTTCGCGCCCCATTTTACGCGTTATTGCCATATTCCAGCTCTGACAAGGGAAGTTCACTTAGTCGAAGTGGCGATTTGGAAGAAGATCTATAACAATGGATTGAGCTTAAAACGCTGATCTCAAATGTACCTTCTATATCTGCGATACATTGTTCTGAAAAAAGCTATGAGCTTTTCTAAGGCCGAATTTTCGTGCATTTTAAGTCGCAAAATCATGATAATTTCTACACAAAAGTGTGCAAGTTTAAGCAAACCACCTAGTAAGCATTGTAGATTTGATTCAAGTTCATCCGAACGTTTTCGAGTGTTTTATGAACCATGTTGTTTATCCACAGGCCGCCATTTCCTTCCTATCCAATTCCACTATATATACAAAAAAGCCCATAACCTCCATCTGGAAGAACGCGTCGCAGATATTGAAGATAAATTTGGGAACATCGTTTTACGTTTTATCTTTGGTAATTTCCAAAAAGTTTCAGACGCGACGCGTTTTCATAGATGGAGGTTATGGGGCTTTTTTGTACACATAATGGAAGTGTGATCTAGGAATGAAATGACGACCTGTAGATGAACAACATGGTCGAAAAACACTCGGAAGCGTTCGGATGAACTCGACTTAGACCTACAATGCTTACTAGGTGGTTTGCTTAAGCTTGCACACTTTTGTGTAGAGATTATCTTGATTTTGCAACTCAAAATGCACTAAAATTTTGCTTTAGAAAAGCTCGTAATTTTTTTCAGAACAATGCATCGCAGATACAGAAGGTATATCTGAGATCAGCATTTAAGCTCTATCCACTAGTATAGATCTCCTTCCGAATCGCCACTTCGACTAAGTGAACTTCCCTTGTGAGTGAAATTTTGACCGCTTGATTGATCGCTTTGCCACAAACATTAAGTGTTTCCTTATTCCGTTCTTGTGGTAGCAGTGCCACCTTTCACAGTTGAGATCGCCAAAGGAGACGAGCGCCTGTGCTTCCATCTTGATTTGGTTGAAAGCGTTGATGTTCAAGGAGAATGTGAGTTTCGAATGTATTCGATAGTTTTAGCTCTGTTTTTTTTTTCAGGATGCACCATACCTGTCCTTTCAGATGGTTTTCGAGTAGAAGAGTTCTATGTAGCTCCTGCAGCCAAAGAAGGCGATGAAGATGTCCCTGCTGAGGTTTATGCAAGCAGTGGCATATACATCGATCCAGTAAGTGACTCTACATAATGAATTTATGGCTTTGTGTAAAGCAGGGAATCTGTACACTTGGCGTTTCACTTGTCTAATTGTTTGCTTCAAACTTTACTGCAACATGCTGATGTTCAGAACATTGTATTATAGTTTTTCAACTTCGTCTTATCAGAATGTTTGGCTGAGAAAAAATTTGCGATTTGACTGCTTTTTCTATGGTTCTGCCCCTGAAACGAACAGCGTTAAAAACTTTTCTGATCTTGATTAATTTATTTTCTGCGTATCATGCTTCATCTTTTTGCTGGTATCCAAAGTGACGCTGTAAGTAGTTTCAACAGTGATATGAGTTGATAACCTCTAGAAGAATCATTGGTGTAAAACTGTATTGAGGTGGATGTGATAGCAATCACGATCACAGATCTTTTTGCAGTCACTGAAGCAACAAGCTCTCGGTTTTTTTACCAATATGAAGATATTTAGGATTTCTACGACTTGCTTTTTGTCCGCTACCTAGAAGAGCGCGGATTTGATGCTTAGTTCTGCAAAACTCTGGTTGCTTACGCTACGCACTACGAACACTCGCAATATGAGGGTCTTCTCAACATGGCATAACGAAATGAGGACGGAACAAATGAATATCAGCTTTACAATCATGTAAGTAAGCTTTGTTTGTACATATAATACTTTATGATCTGTGCACGCTATTACTTGTTGATGAATTGCTACGTTTACGATTTACTCAGATGTTTTTTGTTGAGAGAGGAGGTAAAAATTTGTCATGCCATTGAAAATGTTTGATAAATTTGTCTATCGTGCGCAACTAACGCAACAATACACATGGCCTCGAGACTTTAATTTATTGTCATCATTTCATCGTTCAACTGTTTGGAATTGACGTTTCCTCTCTTTTCATGCTTACATCGACTTCCTTGCAGCTAAATAATTTCCTTAGAATGATGTCAATCATAATGACTGTGCCAGTTCTGCCTACTCCAGCCGAGCAAGCATCCCTATAGGGCCGTTGTCCAATTTGTCACTCTGAAAAGCAAAAACTTCTACCGTCTGAGCTGCTAAATTTAGATTCTGAAAGTTCGATAAGGCAGCTTTTGCGTGGTCATGCTTACTCTAAACTGAAGAATCAAACGAACCACATGGCGACCGCTCATAGGTAGGCCACGATCTGGCCAGCTGGTCATATGGAGTACTTTGAATCATCTGGATGGTATTGTATTTGCAATTTTTGATTAGCATGCCTTCACTTCTATGAATAGAGCATCCATTAGGTAAGACTTCTACCTTGTATATCATACCTTAATATAGAGCTCGAATTAGGGAATGTTCACATTTTCAGGCCTAAGATCTGATATTTACTACCTTTTTAGTTTTGACAAACATTTTTCCGAACTTTGATACTGACCAGCTCTTGCAATGGCCAATACTGCGTACTTTTTACTTTACCATCTCAATAATCTGAAATTTGGTTAGGTGAAGCCTGTTAGGGAAATTCAGGCCAGGGATACTTTTGTTGAATTGACATTGTGTGGACATCCTTCTTGGAAGACCATCCGCCAGAAGTCTTCTATAGTATATTCCATCGGAGCCTTGATTTTCGCTGGATTTTTCAATTTTTTTTAATTTAATTTTTTTCCAATTTTCCAATCTCAGGTCTGTATGAGAATGGTCAACAATGGTTTGTTGGAGTCAAAAGGCGTCATGGAAATACTTAAAGATCCTTTGGAAATGTATGTCATGCGCTTGTTGATCCAGACTATGATGGCGAGGGCGGGGGGGGGGGATAGGCAAGGGTCAAAGGGGACTTCGTAAAATTCTCGAAAGTCAGGGGGGACTTCGTTTTTAAAAAACCTGGGAACGGACTCGTGCCGGGCCCTGCTCCTGATCGCTCATCCCGGAAGGGCAGCAGAAGTCAAAGCTTGGGAGATTGGGCTCTGGTGCTGAGTTCCTTGCAAATGTCAAAATCAAATCAAATCAAATCACAAGTTACAAATATTTCTTGTAAAAAAAGTTGGTCAATACTACTTTTTCACTAGTCGATGAATTTATCAATTTAGCAACATTTCCAGGCGCCTAATTGAAGAATGTACTACTTTACATAAATTGGCAGTTGAGAGTTTGGGTAGGTAACACGTGTTGCTGACCTTACCGATTTCACTCAACTGGACATACACGACCTCGCGTCCATTTTCGTGCACCGTGGGAGTTGGAGCGCCTGAGTTTGGTAGGGCTTGTAGAACGGGAAAACCTACGCAAACGAGAGATTGATATGTACCGCATCTGATTGTATAGTATACGTGACCAAGTTGGGAGCCACGATCATTTCAGAAAGTCTGGTTTTCGGGTATTCACAACCCTCTAGTTTTTCTCCCAAACCTCACATAGGGCGAATCTTTTGAGATTTTTAATATGTTGTAGAGCTTCTTTGCTCTATCAAGTAATATACTTTATACAGGGTGTTTGGAAAGTAAGTGGCCTAAACAACTTCCAAATCGAATTTTGAAGCGCGTTTTGTTTCATTGTACTCCTCAGGTCTAGATACCATTGCTTCAGTGAAACCAGTTTTTCTTGTGGTTTTTTTTCTATTAGATTGAAACACATCAATATAGCTTTCCAAGCCGCTTTCTTTGGAACGCTTGTTACAAAGAAGGAAACGTAATTTACAGACTTGATATACTTTCTAAAACCCCTTTATATAAAATTTCTTACATGTGCTTTTATTTTCGTAGAAGTAAGCTCGTTTTGAAATACCGTGCCTTGGAATACAAGATATCCAGTTTCAGGATTTTTCGTCAACAAATCCAGCACCAAACTTTTTATATTTTATCTTTAAACCTTCACAAGCACGCAATTTGAAAATGAATACATTGAGGATCAAAGAGCTGCGCTACAAATACATGATAAAACAAGACTTCCAATTTTTTAACGAAAAAATTTCAACGAAATTCGTGTCGCGATTGTTTGCTGTAATTTAGTACATGGAAAAATTTTTGTTCGCAGGCTGTTAAGGAACTCATTTTATATAAAGAAAGTGTAAGCTTATTTCTATTAAAAAAGCGGAAAGTTGTCTCCGTTTTTCTGCGCTGAAAAAAAGTTGAACAACTCAGAAAACGCACTCTTCCGCTCCTTTAAAGAAGCTGAAAAATTTGTTTGCTTCCAAGTTTTTTGAAGTATCTTGAGGCAAAAAGTACTCCGTTGACCCAATGGTTTCTAGGTTCAGCGAACACGTATAGCAAAAAATGAAACGGAATTCGCAGTTGAAGTACTTGAGGCCACAAACTTTTCAAACACCCTGTATGTTTTTATATCTTCTCTACTACTTCAGTAGATATACATGCATTAATTTTGCATCAAACTTACATCTCAAGTATTAGTGGGACTGCGCTTTCTTGAACCGCCTCGCATTTTGGAATGAGGCTATTTGCAAGCCCGTGTGATGATGTTGTTTAGCTTCAAACCTGCAAAGCAATAAAAGTCAGTGGTGAAATTAGGAGAGGTCATGTGCAAGCACTACTGAGAGACATTTATACAGAATGGACAAGAGCATTTATCTCACTTAGATAGCTCGTTGAATTGCACTACTGATTTCATGGAAAGAATACACAGTAGTTTGCTACAGAGAATTAATTTATCTCTTAAATATACTAGGTCGGTCGGAATGTTCACGCTGTTATTCAGACCCACGCCAAATCACTTAGAATGAAAATAGACGTGCTGTTAGCACTGTTCCCTTAGTCCGATGCAGAGTTTCTTCTTCTTCCTAATAGTTGTTTTTGTTCAAATTCCTTCAATGTGTTTCTGGAAGCTTCTAATTTCGAAGGTTTGTCAGTGTTTGAACTTGTGTATTTCGCGACTTCGCAAAAGTAAGGGCTTTTGGAAAAATTGTTCATTGTATTGAATTTTGTTTATTCTATCAGACTGTTATGCCAGCCTAAAAGTTGAAAATGGAAATTTTGAAAATAGTCAAACTGAAGAGAGTGAAATTCATGGGTTGGAGATTCCTGGATTATTGAGCGGTTATCACTTAGTACTAATCTTAGCGAACAGCTGAGCGTTTAGCCGTTCGAAATACTGAATTTCGAACTTTCTGTGTACAGCTTGGGACGAGTCCAACAAGAATTATAAGATTTTATCCCCATAAATTACACAAACCAAGATGAAAAGAATCCTATTAGAAAGTGGAGAAAAGCGGCATCGAATGGCACCTTTGTTGCTGGTGGTTTATTATGTTCGTTGAAAATTGAGATGCCCAAAGATGGAATTTGATAGCACCAAAAAATATCAGGTTGTCCCATAAGTTCCATCGGTTTTGAATTTCGACCGCAATAAGTCATACATTTCTCGTTTCTGAATGAGCTGCAAGGTACTGTTCGATAAGGCAAAACATGCTCTACAAGGGGGCTGTCTTGTTTTTGCACCAGCTTTGACACGTATCGAGTTTTGAACCAAAAACTAAAAAGATTCATTTGCCCAAAAAATCGAGAAAAATCATAACTAATATTAAAACAATTCTACAAAAATTCTAATTTGCTCACGCGAACCCTATCCATCTAATACATTTATGTACGCCATTGCCGTATTTATTACTTGGTTAGAAATTAACAAAGATTTTCATGTTTTCTACTGCTAATTTAATGTATTCTTGAATAAGCTGAAACATTCATTAGTTTCTTTTACATTTCCTGCAAACGCTTGTGTGATAAGCAAAGGTGCATGTTTGTATAAGGTTGATTGTGTTCAATCCCAAAATAGAGCTGTATAGTCTCATCTTATAATTTCAGAGAGCGAATTGTCCATTTACTACATTCAAAAGTAAGTCGTCAGAAAATGGAAGTGTTGATTGAACATTAATCCTTTTGAGAACTTATGTTGCAAATTGCGATGATCTTTGATTTACTCTATCCTTGAATAGAAAAACTACCCCAAAGGTGCATGTTTGAATAAGATTGATTGTGTCAATTTCCAAAATAGAGCTGAAAAGTGCCAACTTACTAATTTTACAGAGCAAGTTGTTCATTCAATACATTCAGAAGTCAGTCATCGAAAAATGAAAGTGTTGATTAAAATTTGATCCCGTTTTGAAAACTTTTGTTGCAGTTTGCGATAATCTTTGTTTACGCATCTATCCTTAAAGTGGAAAATCTGGATTATTGCCAAGGGACGCAAGTATGAACAATCCTAGATGACTGACAATAAGATTAGACAGATTTATTCAGGAGCAAAGTAGATTAGATAGAGCATAGATAGAGCAAAGTAGAAAGGGGAGCGTTAACGCGTTGTCAGAATAATAGGTGAAGGTCGCCCATGTAAGCGATGTTTAAGTTGCAGCCTACTTGCTGTTGCTCGAAACAAAAAATTCCAAAATATAATTAAAATCAAGCTGTCCCATTTTTTAGCGATCACCTAATATAATATATATGCCCGATTTACCCTGCATACGTTCTTAAATGAAAATTTCTACACTTCTTCGGCGTAACCTTCGAACTGAGTGCTCTCTTATTCCCTAATCATGTCACAAAGAAATTTGCTGTACCTAGATCTGCTTCCAGCAAGACTTTCTAGGACCTCAAAATTTGCCAAAGTGGGCCAACCAAAAATTTTTGGAAAAAAAGTGATACACATTCCGGTAGTGGAATGGATGCGTCCACAGAACATTAGTTAATAGTTAGTATACTGGCTTACATGTACTTTTCTGACTGCTCTCCAATTCGAACGATTACAGATTTCTATATATAACGCGCTTATTTACCGCAAAATAATTGAATATAGTGAAAAATTTTGAGATCTC